GAATTCATTCCTTTTTTTTTTCAAATTATAATCCGGCCCTCCAACAATTTGAGGGACTGTGACCTGGCCCTCTGTTTAAAAAGTTTGAGGACCCCAATCTAGACTTCTAAAGCCTCTGAGGATGAGGACGGAGATTTTCTGTTTTGGTGGGGAAAAACAAAAGTGTTTTTCGAGACTATGGGAATGTTTTGGGTAGATCTGTTGTCGGGGAAATAGGCAGTGATTCTCATGAGAATCGGCCAGGGATTGACTCTGAAATGTGAAGGCGATAAGAGGGTTACAGATAACCCAGTGTTTACAGCTCAGAAGGGATAGTGAGAAATAGAGACAAATTTGTTGTTCCCACAGAATGAAAGATAAACAAAGGGAACCCAGGTGTGAGAAAGCGTGATGTCATGGGCAAGACATCCAAGCACAATTCAAAGTGCTGGTTTTAGCCTTTAAAGACCTAAACGGTTCTGGCCCAGAGAGACAGGGCTTTCTCAGCAGTGGCTCCCAGCTATGGAACGCCCCCCCCCGAGATATCAGATTGGCCACCTCCCTCTTGTCTTTTAGAAGGAAAATCAAGATCTGGTTATGGGACCAAGTGTTTGATCAGTGAGCAGCAAGTGGAAGAAGACCACACAACTTGTGGCAATGAATTGACCTGGACTGGTTTTTGGATTTTGATTTTAATGGATGTGTCGTAATTAATTGTTTTAATTTTTAATATTTTGATTGCACTGTTGTTGTTTTTATGATGCTAGCATCGTATGATGCTTTTGTTAGATCGCCCTGAGTCCCCTTTTGGGGGGAGAAGGGCGGGGTATAAATATAGGAAATAAATAAATAAATAAATAAATGGGAGTATTCTTAAGGAATTGGAGTCAATGTTCGGTGGGAAGGTCAATGTTGGATTTTCATGGGTCAAATTGCCTGTCTTAGGAGCTCCAAGTTAGGAGTTCTGTTCTTGGGCCTGTATCTTGTTTTCCTGTCTTAGTTCCATGCCTCCTGTTTGGATTACAAATCTTGTTTCAAGTTTCAAGCCTTTGGGATTATAGTCAAAGCTCAGTATCAAGCCTTTGGATGATGTTCATGTTTTCAAGTTTTTGAATATATTTCTAGTTTAAGTGCAACAACCCCTGGATTACAGTTTCTTGCTTTTGCTTTTGGTGGTTTTTGGAATTCATATTCAGAATTGGTCATTGCTTTGTGTTAAGCTCCTGGAAATCTAGCTCAGGGGTGTAACTTTGAAACTGCTTTTGCATACTGGGTTTTCCTGGTATTTTAGTGATTGTTTAGTCTGCTTATTATCAACAGTATTTTGAAACAGTTTTTATATTTGATAGTCTTTTCTTAATAAACTTATTATTGTTGTTGATCTGTGTGGTGGTTGGGTGAAAAAGGGATGAAGCAGGTGGCTGGGCTGCAACACAGAGTGTTGTTGCAGAGTTCTGTGTTCGGAAAGAATCTTCTCGAAAACAGAACACAAAATTCGGAATGAAAACAGAACAAATTTCTGCAGTTTTGCACACCCCCATGACAGTGTAGATGGGGCCAAAGTGCAGTGAAGTTGGGATGGAGAGAGGATGTTTAATTTGCCCCTGGGCAAAACATGGTGGACCTGTATCTGCTTCTTCTCTCCCTCCAAAATCAAGTCACACGACAGATCTAACAACTATAGATCTAACCTGAATTGCTGTGTCTATTTCTCTTTTAATGGTAAGCTTATATCATCATGCAAAAATGAACTCCATGAATTAATTAAAGAAGCTCAGTTTCCTCACTGGAGCTCTCATAGCCACAAGGTTAAATTTAAGCTGGAGATCATAGATTTCATGGAACTTAAGCAAGATATAAATGGCCGCAGAGCTCTATCCTCTGTGTAAAGACTGAATGCCACATGAGGTAAAACTCTGAAAGTATTGGCATAAGGCATTAATTGAGGTTTAAAGCATGTACTTTAAACACATACACACAACAAAGCCAAATAGGTTTCCAGTAATCTATTATAACTTTCTCCACTTAGCTTCATGTGTATAATTAACTAAGAGCTGGAAACAGATATGCTGATGACAAAATCAGATTCTCCAGGGTCACAATGCAACTAAGTACATATTCTGCTATAAATAGCATCAATTCAGTAGCACTCAACTTTACAAGGCTGTTGAAATCTCTGGTACACAGTGGATTAAAGTTTAAAGTTATATTTACAGTCTTTTGCTATCTTCAAGGACATTACCAGCAGCAAAAGAAAACAATATTCAACTGTTGCCATAAGAATTATAAATGAATTACTAAATCAATAGCTTCTAATTTTTAAATTAATTCCAATAATTAATTTTAATTTTTGGAAAGTTCCAGTGGCGAAATATTTTCATAGAAGCATTCAAATACAATATGGATAATTTAGTGGGTTTCTTTTTTTTTTAATACCTGTAGAATGTGTCTAATTGGATTCATTAATTTTATTCATTCCCCATGGATCCATATGGCACAAGAGCCTTTTCCCATAACATGTAACCTTTCCTGTAGATGTGTCAAAAGAACCCATTTAGCTGACAGTCTTAACAGCTCCCATCTGTTTATACTGGATACAACCCCAGTGCTATTTTGGTGAGTCATAAATTAAATAACTGTTATATTTCTTCTGAAGCACTCTTTCCTTGTTGTCACTTTGTGCCTTCAAGTCGGTTCCAACTTATGGCAATGGTAAGGTGAACCGATCATTGGGTTTTCTTTGCAACAATTGTTCAGAAAGGGTTTGCTTTTACCTTCCTTTAAGGCAAATAGGGGCCAACTATATATGCAATACTTACTCACATGCATAAAGGGAACCGCCTTGAGTCACCTGAGGGCTGAGAAAGGCGGTATACAAATATAGTAAATAAATAAATAAACAAACAAATAAATAAATAATATTTGCACTCAGAAATATATCAAACATATTTGGAACTTCTTTCCGAAACTGGTATCACTATATACATCACTAGCCGTCCCCTGCCAGGCGTTGCTGTGGCCCAGTCTGTCTATATGTGTTTTGTGTGTGGATGTGTGTATATGTGCATGTATATATTTGTGTATATGTATATACATGAATGTGGATATATGTGTGTTTGCATATATATATCTGTAGTTTTGCGCATGCGTTGTAAATTCTTTTGTCTTTTTAAGTCTCTTCCATTGTGTTTTTCAGTGTTTTTATGAGTGATGATCACACGATGGCCTGATCGGTGTATGTAAATTTGGTGTCAATTTGTCCAGTGGTTTTTGAGTTATGTTAATCCCACAAACGTACATTACATTTTTATTTATATAGATATAATATCCCACAGTAATTAAGTTGATTGCTATTTAGTGTTCTGATCTCTATTCCTTTCTGTAGACTTCAATTTGAGGATTTCATTAAAATTGTATTGGGGTCATTTATGGCCCAATTAAAGAGAAACAGACCAAAGAGAAAAAAGAAAGAAACGACTGTACATTCAGTATAATGCAATGTCAATGAAACATTGCATTTAGCAATACAATTGTTTCACAATGAAGCAGTTAGGTAAGTGACTATTCTGTGTGGGTTTTTAAAATTTGCATCTGTAGGATGCTTGAAAGTGATAGGAATGCATGAATTAGTAAGACAATGGAAAAGAAAACTCCTTTGAGAAATTATAGTCACAATATACAAGGTATCTTTACAATACTAGCATTGTATAGTAGAACTCTTTGATTAGTGATGTAAATCCCTAATGAAACCATATCTTTTTTACTCAAATTAGAGTATTGTCAAATATATCTCAAACTGTGACTTAACTAGGAATTTGACTCTCAAGACCCTTCCATGCAGCTGTATAAAATCCACATTTAACTGGATGATACGGCAGTGTGGACTCAGATAATCCAGTTAAAAGCAGTTATTGTAGATTATCTGCCTTGATATTCTGGTTTATATGGGGTTGACCGAGTGGATCTCAAAGATTATAAATGCCTCATTGGAACAGGGACATATTCCATCTAGCCTGAAAAGTGCAATTATGAGACCTTTACTCAAAAAGGCGTCCCTAGATTCCTCGGTCCTAAATAACTATCGGCCAATTTCTAACCTCCCTTTCTTGGGCAAGGTTCTAGAGCGGGTGGTTGCCTCCCAACTCCAGGGATTCCTGGATGACACCGACTATCTAGATCCATCACAGTGTGGTTTTAGACCTGGCCATGGTACTGAGACGGCTTTGGTTGCCTTGGTGGATGACCTCCAAAGAGAGCTTGACAGAAGGAGTGTGTCCCTGTTGGTTCTCCTGGATATCTCAGCGGTATTTGATACCATCGACCATGGTATCCTTCTGGGGCGGCTCTCCGGAATGGGTCTCGGGGGCATTGCACTGCAGTGGCTCTGCTCCTTCCTGGAGGGTCGCTCCCAGTTGGTGATGCTAGGGGATACCTGCATAGCCTTTGACCTGTGGGGTCCCGCAAGGTTCCATTCAATCCCCCATGCTTTTCAATATCTACATGAAACCACTGGGTGAGGTTTCCAGAGTTTTGGAGTTGGGTGCCATCTGTACGTAGATGACACCCAACTCTACTACTCATTTCCACTGAAATCCAAGCTTATGGTTATGTTGTTTTTACTTTGTATGTTCTGTGATTTTTACCTGGGAACTGCTCTGAATCCCCTCGGGGAGATAGAGCGGTATATAAATAAATTATTATTATTATTATTATTATTATTATTATTATTATTATTATTATTATTATTATGTGAAAGGGCCCTTTGAGCCACTCTACACTACCATATAATCCAGAATACCCACATTTTCTGCTTTGAACTGGATTATCTGGGTCTACACTGCCATATAATCTAGTTCAAAACAGATAAACTGGGTTTTATACAGCTGTGTAGAAGGGCCCCAGTTAAGCAAAGTATTTGTCGTCCACTCTGAAGTTTAGCAATTCAGCAAGTAACACAGATCTACAGTGAACATCAATCTGAGACCATGGTTATCATATAATCAAATTTTCTCCATACTTACTCTCTGTCAATGACAAGACACATAACAGCCTCAGCTGCAATAACATTGGCCGTCCTGACATCTTCCCTGAAAGGACAGAAAACATGTATTTTATATATAGCAGTCTGTTTCTGCAGCACAAACATTCACACATTAATGCACTTTGCAAAGGGTAATTATGCTTCCATGATTTATTAGCCTATAAAAAAGAAAGTAATGTTTCTTCTTAAATCTCACAGTGTTTTAGAAATGTTCATAAAACAACATTAACACATGAAGTCATTTTCCTGGCAGATAAGCTGCTCAGTCATTTATACGGCTTTTAAAAGATTCATTTTTCCTGTTTACTGTTGTCTGTGATTTTGCAGTTCTATTCAGAAGATGCAAGCAACAAATTCAGCCTAAGAAATGTGAATCCCATTAACATAATTTGAATGTCAATTTTAGGAACAGAAAAAAAAAACACTAAGGAAGTTGTTTGGACAGTCACCTCACCAATTACATATAAATAAGCTAGTGCATACAGTTTTTATACAAATACGTGTTTTCCTTTGTCTTCTTTGTTGGTGATGCACATTGGCAATGCACCTCCATTTGGCAAAGCACCCCCTTTTGTGGATAAAAGGTGCATATGTCACCACAAGTGACAATAATTGCACCATTAAAGTCCTCAGTCTACCAACATCTTGTGAACTTTGGCCTTTACATCAGGCTGGATGTCCAGAAGTTATTGTTCACAGTAGTCTTGGTCTAACTAATTAATAGTGAGGGCAGACAGAAGTTGTAGTTCATTAACATCTGGCAGGCTATAGGATTCTAACTACTGCTTCACACCTTTGTAACTCTGAAAGTATAATTTTAATGAGAAACCACGTTCTAAGTGACAATCCTACTTTAACTAAAATTGTACTATCTATGAGGGATGTGTTATTACCCCAATTTTATTTTCCATCTTCATCGCTATGATACTTCATCTTGTGGGGTGGAAATCATCTATCAGACAGATGGCAAGCTATTTAACCTTAGCAGGCTGAAAGCCAAAACCAAGGTTACAACAACATCTGTTATAGAACTCCAATATGTTGGTGACAACGTTGTCTGTGCGCACTCAGAAGAAGACCTAAAAGCCACTTAAAAACTTTTGTAGACGCATACGAGAAACATCGAGAAAACCAAAGTGCTCTTCTAGCAGTCACCAACCAATCCCTCTACAATGCCAGAAATACAGCTTAATGGTGTAACATTAGAAAATGTTGATCATTTCCACAACCTTGGCAGCCACCTCTCCACAAAAGTCAACATTGACACTGAAATACAACACCGCCTGAACTCTGCGAGTGCAGCTTTTTTCCGAATGAAGCACAGAGTGTTTGAGGACTGAGACATCCGTAGGGATACCAAGGTGCTTGTTTATAAAGCTATTGTCCTCCCAACCCTGCTATACGCTTGCAAGACATGGACTGTCTACAGACGTCACATGCAACTCCTAGAATGATTCCATCAGCGCTGCCTCCGGAAAATCCTGCAAATCTCTTGGGAAGACAAGTGGGTAAATGTCAGCATGCTGGAAGAAGCAAAGACCACCAGCACTGAAGCGATGGTCCTCCGCCATCAACTCTGCTGGACCGGCCACATTGACCGGATGCCCGATCACCGTCTCCCAAAGCAGTTGCTCTACTCCAAACTCAAGAATGGAAAACAGAAAGTTGGTGGGCAAGAAAAGAGATTTAAAGATGGGCTCAAAGCCAACCTTAGAAAACTCTGGCATAGACTCTGAGAACTGGGAAGGCCTGGCCCTTGAGCATTCCAGCTGGAGGTCAGCTGTTACCAGCAGTGCTGTAGAATTTGAAGAGGCACGAATGGAGGGCAAAAGAGAGAAACGTGCCAAGAGGAAGACGTGTCAAACCAACCCTGACCAGGACCACCTTCCATCTGGAAACCAATGCCCTCACTTTGGGAGAAGATGTAGATCAAGAATAGGGCTCCACAGTCACCTACAGACCCAGCAATATATAGGTCTTAGAAGACTATCCTACTCGGACAACAAGGGATCACCTAAGTAAGTAAGTAAAGTAAGTAAGTACTATCTATGAAGAAGACATGTCCAATAGACTTGGATAATATTAAAGGCTTCAGCTCTGTCAATGATGAGACATATAGCAGAATTAACAAACCAATCTTCTTATTTGTGGTGGGGACCAAACACAATTTAATGAGTAATAAATATGCTCAATGGTCACAGATTACATATTTGTTAAGAAGATAGGAACCAGGAGTAGAATAGCACATCCTTGAAAAGACAGTAACTAGTTGATTGGAAACTGGAACACAAAGAACTCCAAATTGTAAGATCTCACAGCAGGTCCCATTTGTATTCTCAATGTTAGAAATATGTTAATTTTTTAGTCAAAGGTAGACTTCTCCCTTTGATTTTATAAATGCTATATTGTACAGTAACTACAGTATTTGCATGACAATTGAAATATTATTCAGGGAAATTCTTATCGTTTACTACAGAAATACAGTACTGTTCAACAAAAAGGGATCGCACAAAATAATTCTGTCCTTTTGAAGGCAGGTTGCCTTTTGACATTATAAATAGAGTTTTAGTGGAACCGGACTTGCAGTGTCAAAGGGTTGAAACTGTCTGATTTCTTTCATTTCAGACTTTCTCACTATTTTCCAAGTTTGAAACTTCCCACAGAACTTTAGGAAGTGGTAGATTTTTTTCCATAATCTGTCTACTGTCATGAGTTATGGCTGTCAAGATCAAAAGAAGTTTTTGCTTTCTTTTTTAAACACTCATTAGGTTTACGCAAAAGTTACCGTACTAGCTTTCATTTGATTACTTTAAAGGTATGTTAGAAGAAATGATCACCCATTATGTTACAAAGTTTATAAACAGTTCAACAGAAGTCTCACCAGCATCATAAAAGAGAGCTGGACACTATATGGTAACTCAGTGTTCTTCACATTGGTAACCCACCACTCCCACAATGAACTCATACTGCTGTGATTTGCCTCCTCTCCATATAATTTAAAATTTTGTACCTAGGCAAGTCTCAGACATTGAGTGTACTCAATGGTGAATGCCACAGTGCATGTATTATATTATAATTATATATTTATACAGGGTGAGGCAGCATAACTTCCTGTTTAAAAATGTGTGCCATTCAGTCGGTTGAAGACGTAGCGGAGCACTAGTGGTCTCATTCGAGAGGCGGGAGTATAACGTTTTGTCCTGACACTGTTCGGTCGCCATCATGCGTTGGAACAGCGAGGAGCGTGCTTTTGCCATTGAGGCCTACTTTTCGAGTGGATTTGAAGTGGCCGGCCCACTCTCCAGATTTGACCCCTTGTGATTTTTTTTCTATGGGGTTTTTTGAAATCTTGTGTTTATGTGAACCATCCAAGGATTCTACAATATTTGAAGACCAACATCCAGGAAGAAAATGCCAACATAATGCCTGCTATGCTGGCAAGAGTCATGACAAACACCAGAAATCGGTTTACTCAGTGTATGGAGAATGGAGAATGGGGGACGTCACCTACCTAATTTGATCTTCAAAACTATGTAAAACAAAACTTTAGGTATGCGCCTACATTATAAAAAAAAATCTGATTCATACAATGGGTTTTATTAAGTTTTGAAAAAAGGAAGTTATGCTGCCTCACCCTGTATTTAAATGTAATATTACTAATAATATTACGATATAGTGGTATGGTGTAATATAGCAGTGTTTAATGCTGATATTGTACTATGCTAATAATATAATATATTGTATGTAATATATACCTTGTAAGCCGCTCTGAGTCCCCTTCGGGGTGAGAAGGGCAGCAAATAAATGTTGTAAATAAATAAATGAATAAATAAATAAATGTACACTATAGAATTAATGCAGTTTAGCACTACATTTACTGCCATGAACCTTGGGTTTGTAGTTTGGTGAGGCACCAGCACACTTCGGTAGAGAAAGCTAAAGCCCTTAATTCCATAGCATTGAGTCATGGCAGTTAAAGTGGTGTCAAAACTGTATTAATTCTACTTTGTAGATCAGGCATGGCCAAACTTTGGCCCTCCAGGTGTTTTGGACTTCAACTCCCACAATTCCTAACAGTTGATAGCTGATTTTCGTACTGGGAGGGGGCTTACCGTTTCATGCTCTGAAGGGAACAAAAGGAATGAACGAATGAATGAAACAGGAAAAACAAATTCCGCACGCAAGTTTACAAGTTTACGATTCCCCAAAATGTACAACATACATGCGTTCATCACACATATGGGATAACATGGCTCTGTGCATTTTTAACTCTCCTTGATTGTGAATATGGCAGCACAAAGCTAAGTACTGACATTTCCACACTTAACGTTGCATTACTGATTTATAGAATAGATTTATTGTGATTGTACATTGTACAATGAAATTAAATGCTTTCCTCAGCACACATCGTAAAACAACACACCCATTCCTCCACACTCAAAATATAGTATCAGTAGTTTAGGAATTATAATATAGCTTTCAAAAATAATATGATAAGCCTAAATAACACCAAAGGCACCAGATCTTGTCTGGTCTTGGATGCGAAACAGCCCTAATGAATATTTAGATTGCCAAGAAATATCAAGTGTTGTAGCTTGTATGTCATATTAAGAAACTGGAAAAAGTTTCTTGAAATTTTCCTTGCCTAAGAAAACGCTATGAAATTAATGGGCTGAACTTAAGTCGACAGGCAGCTTGGAGACACAGGAACATGCACACAATATTGCAAACAAGCTTGCCATACTTTTGACAAAGCATGGCTATGCGAAGAATGCCACAGTTTAATATTACACTGCATATGCACTTTCAATGCTGCCTCTTGGTTATCTTTACTGATGGAGTTCTGTACATTGCCTGAAGGTGTCAAAGAAGGAAGGCAAAACACTGAAATTAAGTACACTGCAATTTGGATCTACATCGCTATTTAATATTTTAATCTTACACAGTAATAACAGCAATAACACATCCTAGACATTATTTTAAATGCAATGTATGGAAATGAGAAAATATCAGTGCACAAACTTGCTATGTCTCCCCAACTCAGTT